CGAAAAAGGGTCAAACCTGCCCCTAAACTATTGGAGTTGGTACAATAATACCCCCCGTCTCAAAAAATCTCTACCCCCTCCACTCCCCTCCCCCTAGCGTGTGTGCGTTCATGTTCTTCTTCTTCTTCTCATCCTTTTTTTGACCGTGTACTCTATTTGAATAATCACCACAAACACCATTAAAGTTTTATTTCAAACAACCAAAATTTTTAGTCGCCAATACTTTATGTCATACAACTTTCACGTGAATATATGAATACTAACAGAGTGTCAATGGTAATGGTCACTGAACATTTGCAATATTTTTCGTTGTATATTTCCTGACAACTCCGCATCCAGTTTCGATTATACCAGAGTTTTATTTGATCTCTGCTCGAACCTCGACTTTTTTCTTCTACAGTAGCTTACCATAATCTGAACATCCGATCATGTCCATAAATTAAGTTATTGTACGAGGGTGCTCTTCAAGTTATATCAACACCGCTAATTTTAAAAAAGGGACGGTTAAATCAAAAGGAATATTTGGATCCTATGACTGAGAATATGACTTATTGGAGAATGTGACTGTAATAAACACTTGATTGAGCTAATTGTATGAAGCAGTGAAGTGTAGTAAGAAAAATTGATATGAATGGTATTTCTATGATGGAAAAATAGGAGTATTGATGTGTACATTTAATAGAGAAAGAAATAGGAAGAGGAAGGTGATTAACTATAAGAGACAGTTTTGTTTGCTTAGGAAAAAATGGGTGTATGAGAGTTCTAGATGCTGGAATATTTTTGAAAAGAAAGAGGAGAAAGAAACGAAATAGGGAGAGGAAGAAGGATAGACTATGAAAAAGTATTTTTGTTTATGGGTCTTAGAATGTGGGTGATTTATTTTAATTTAGGTGAGTTTTAAGCTAAGCCAATTGGACGATGACACGTGAAAATTATTTAAGTTTTTTTTACCTAACATGGCTGTTAGTCGTAAGGGAAATTTTGAGCCAAAAAGATAACGGTGAGGGTAATTTTTGCAAAATAGGTGGATGGAGGGTATTATTGTACCAACCCCAATAGTCCAGGGACATTTTTGACCCTTTTTCGTTTACTTTATTGTGGAATTTATCCTGTTTTATGACTTAATTAGGAATTATTATTTGTCAATTTAATTGGGTGTTGTGTCAGCTGGCCTTGTCTTCACGAGAGGCGTCATTACGACCGGGTCTGGATTTAGAGTCGCGACAATATGAAAATAATCCATTAGCTTAATTAGTTTTGTTCAACTATATCTCCTAGGTTTTTCGTCTAACTCATTCATGATACATATTATTTCACAATTTACTTTGGAAACCTACGTATTAGTTTTAGAAAAAATGTTTACCTTACGATTTTCCCTATTCGAAGGAATACTACACATGGAAGTAAATACAGATTGTAATCAACCCAGTAGCACGGCTATTCAAACTAAGATTCTTTAAGTGGTCTCCTCTACAAACGTTATTTAGAAATCTTAATTGAACTCAAAGTCTAGATATTAGGCAAAAGTTTAGTTATTACAATTTTATCCAATATGAAATAGATATTTTAAGGCTATTTTGGTAAACCGACACTATATTCATGGTTTTATAATTATATATATTAGTTATACAATACGCGCGTTGCGCGTGTGTCCCGTCACAACAAGTATATATTTTTTAAAAATCACATAAATACTTTGTTAGCTGATTATATTTTAGTTGTAAAATAAGTTTAAGAAAAAAGTATGAGTTCCTGAAAATGATAATTATTGATTCTGTTTAGCAACTGAATAAATGAAGAATAATGGTAATAGAAGTCCTCAATCATCTTAGTCAATATTTTCAACTTAAGATTTATTCATTACAATAATTTCACAAGTTCTCGTGTTTCTTTATATTTTCATTAGGAGCACATAAACTCTCGACAATTTAAGAGTTTTTCTTTTTTGAATTTTTTTGACAAATATATATTCTTAAGTTCATTCTAAAAAACACACAAGATATTCATCTACCCGACAAATGGTCTTTTATTTTGTTCTCACAAGCAAAATGTGAATTATTCTATTTCTTTAGTTAATAAGAAATACTGCAAAAATTATAAAACAACTAAAAATATAAATAATTTTTGAGTTTTTGTCCAAACAGGCCCATGTTCAATCAAGGTTCACAATTAAGAATACCACAATAAAGATGTACTTATTGATACGTGAATATAAAATTTAATTATTAATATAAATACGTGAATGTAAAATTTAACTACTAATATAAACGCGTGAATGCAAAATTCAACTACCATAAAAAAATTGCTCAAAGAAGAACCTAAAAATTCTTAGTTTTATAGTTGCTACTCGAACTACTCGAATAACGTAAAGTTTGATGATGAAAACATAGAATTGTCACTTCTTTTATAAAAGAAAATTGGGTATATAATTTGAAACAGGAAATGATTTATATAAAGTAAAATAATGTATAGTTTAATGATTTATCAGAAAATAAAGACTCCAAAACCAAAAAGAAAATTAGTTTTTACCTAATATTATTTGAAGAAGTAATTTGTTAAAAGTTTATAAACTAAAAAATTTCTTACGATACTTTCCTTGAAAGTGAATAAAATTTTCCTAATTTAGTAGAAAGACGAAACTTTTTTAGTTTTATTGAATAATGAAAACTTTCCTAGTTTTAGTTAAAAGTGTTTGAACTTTTAGATCTAAAAGAAATTCAAAAATAGAAGTTTTAAGTATTAGATTAATAATTAAATAATTGTTCCTAAATAACAGAAAATTAATTAAATGATTATTCCTAAATATAGTAAAATAAACAAAATGACTATTTTATCCCCTGCAAACTCTATTTGAAAAGGATAAAAAAGACGAACGATATTTCGTAAGGGCCTTCGTGCTTTTAATATATATATATATATATATATNGATTCACTCATTTTCATTTCATTTCCTTTTCTTCCCCGATTTCTAGTCAAAGCATCAGACTTGTATTTTACTCCACTATTAACTTTAGAATTTTCATTTTATATAAATGGAGCTGTCACTAATTAAATATTGATGTGAAATTTGGTGCATGAATCTTAGATACAATAAGTCAATAACGTAGTTGGCTGGAAAATTTATCTACCGACCAAAAATTTATCTACTTCAAATAATTTTACGGAGTATCGGCTATTTTCCATCAGTACAGGTACCGAATAACTCTATCCACCAACAGCTCGTTTGAATGGTTGTTATATGTATCTCATAATGTATCGTATTGTATTGTACTATATTGCATTATGTTGTTTTGATGAATAAAATATTTGGATAGATTGTATCGTTTGCCAACATTTCATGATGTGATGCACCAGTAATATGAAGAATAAAATTGCAATATTATAAAGAAAAAAAAAAGGATAGAAATAGAATTATTACGTAAAAATGTAGGATAAAGGATAAAATAAGTTTATTTAATAAGAGAGAAAGACAAGATGAGAGAACAAAGCAAGGTAATAACGCGATCACACCAAATCGGACGTTACATAATGTAGCACTTTTTGTCATTTTATGTAACGACGGATTTAACGATATGATTCAATAAAATTTAAGTAACAATGCTAAACAAATATTATATTTAAAATAACAATACGATACAATACAAGCTGTGGGAGAAGTGCACGGTTAGCCACTAATGACATATATATTTACTTTTAAGTCACTTTTTAAAATATCTTTAGTCTTTAGTCACTGCTTTAATAAACTTTAACTGCCCGGACGAAAATACCCTTCTGCTCATGTCCTTAACTTTTGAACTTAACTTCAGGACTACTTGTCCTTAACTTTTGAACTTGTAACTCTAAGTTCAGGACTTCACGACTACATGTCCTTAACTTTTAAACTTAACTTCAGGACTTCACGACTACATGTCCTTAACTTTTGAACTTGTAACCGTAAGTTCAGGACTTATTGTCCTTAATTTTTGAGTTTGTTAGTCTAAGTTCAAGACCAAGTATCCTTAACTTTTGAACTTATAATTCTAAGTTCAGGACTAAGTGTCCTTAATTTTTGTAATTGGATGCACCAAACCGATTCTGCGGAACACCATCCTCACTGACTTTTACTGCTTTCATAGTATCATGTCTTTCGTATACAATTACTAAATCTCCATCTTTAATGCAGCGTTTAAAGGATAATTTATTTGCTGGATTTATCATGTCTTCTCTTTCTCTAACCTCTCTCCGCCTATACTAACTATGGTTTACTTCTCCCTTTCGATATTCTTCTCACTTCAACTGGAACTTCCAGAATATTATCGTGCATTTCTTCTAAATGCGCTATTTCAGGTTTGAAAAGAGTTGATTGTAACGATGCTAAAGCAAGGCGAGATGACGACTATTTCGAATTACAGGTACCTTATTTTCTTTCTTTTCTTCTGGTTTTGCATTTGTTCGGATTTTGATGATGCCAAAACTCTCTGCAGATAATTAAGATATGCAATGGGAAGACATTACAAGTGGTTGCAGCAGCAAAAGGTTTCTACACATTGGGGAAGCCACTTATGCGAAGCCATTGCTTGGTTGATCTTCTGCAACAGCTCAGCCAAGCTTTTGCTAATGCAAGAAAACGAAATTGAAACTAGGATATCTCCTGGAAAGAAAACGAAAAACGAGTGGGTATCGAACTTGAGAGAGAAGCGAGGGTTTGGGAAGAAAAGCAATGGAAGAAAGGGTAAAAATGTCTTTTCATATTAATTTTAATAGAGTAATGACTATTTTTGCTCAACATTAGAATTGCTGGATAAAAAATAAATACAACCTTAAATAGTGGCTACCCCACGCCATTTCTACTACAAGCTGTAGGGCTTTGATAGATGGGGAAAAAACATAATTTTACTTGTTTTTTTTATTGTTCAAGAGAAAGTCGATATTTTTCTGGATATCAAAAACATACCATGTGAGTGAAGCATTGGCATGGCAAACCTAGGTATTTTCCTCTATGCTAGCATTGGAAAATAAAGGAGAGTACGTACAATATTATTCAGGAATATCTTCAAAATATGATATCCCAATCTTTCAAGATTGCACTATAATACATTTCATACATATACAAGCGGCAGAAGTATACAGCTGAGAATATGCTCATTGCATGAGGGCAACTGCAGTTTCTTGCACTAGAGGCTGAGTAACATGCACAAAATGCTCAGCCTCCCGTTCCACTTGTTCCCGACAATGGTGCACATCTTTTCCGTTATTCATTTTCTTCACAAATGCGATAAACCTTTTCCAGTTGTCGGGATGGAAGAGGTCTGGATTCATCCTCAGATAAGTAAATGCACACATTTGTCTATTGTCGGATTGGCTGTCGATATTCAATGAGGAAGCTTGGAGGATCTGCTCATGTGCAAACTCATCGTATCGGGGCAAAGCATTCTCGCCAGCTAGTGGAACTTGAGCTTCCCGTGTTGCTAATGCTACTTGTCTAACCAACTTCTCAGGTGCACATCGTGCATCCTGTGGCTGCTCATGATCTCGCATCTCAATACATGTGAAGTTGAAAATAGCATCGTGTCGAGCAAGCATCTGAGCAATTGGAAGGTAACCATCTCGGAAACGGGTGTTGTAGTACCCTGCTGTGAGTTCAGGGGCATGGGACCGGGTTCCATAGTGCCATTGAATGCCTGCTACCTTAACTGATATCTTGACGCCCTTGTTCTCAAATATAGCTTTGGTGGACTGCAATATTCTCTCACCATGGTCCAAGAGCATTTGAGAATACCATGTGAGGAAGAACTGACCATATGGACAATCCCAACCACCACTTTCTTTCTTGAAAAAGGTTGTATCTTCTGGCCAGTTGTTATACTCGCCTGCATCCGTCGGACCAGTGTAACCCCACTCAGGCTTGCCAGCTTCTTCTGCTGCAACCTTTAAGCTGCTGAGCATATACTACAAAACATAAGATATGTGAGAACAGTTCATCAAAGATATGACATTCAAAAGTTTTTTTCAAGAAATACAGAACAAAATGGAAACAAAAGAAGATTGATGTATACCTTGTCATAACACTGAAAAGCTCCGATACCGGGAAATTTCCATATTCCATCTTTTTCAGGGTAGGATGGATAACGTAGCTCTCCAGCTGGACCCATGCCAACTTGAATTTCCTAGAGTACATAAACCGGTTAAAAAAGCTTGAGCTTCCACACACTTGGATAAGCAATTTCATTCAGCATAGCTTAAGGTTAAAAAATGTGAAAACTTACCACAATAGTGTCCCCTAGCAGATTCTCAAATCTATCTCTAAATGCTCTCATGAAGTCGGAGTAACATTCAACAGGAGTCCTCCCTTTAAGGACAGGAAGAGTATCACAACCAAGCGAGATATATTCATGATTCCTCCTTCCCCATTGATCCGTATATGCAAGGTCAGGATCCTTGTCAATCTCTTCAACGACCCACCCTGGAAGAGGGATCCTAGAATATAAAAACTGACTATTAAGAAGACAAGAAACGAATAATAGATGATCACTAAATAGGTGGAGATATTGCATTCTCCAGTTATCACCGGATCTTAGAAGTTAATCAACAATAAAGTGGTTAACAATGTGACCATGAATTCTTTGTGGATCTACATGTTCAGAAGAGCTCTTTATACACATACACTCGGCAAGACAGGATTACAACAAACAGTTTCAAACAACTACTAATATTAGCAGTCATCAAATCACTGATCAACATACTCTTCCAACTCAAACACTTCATCACATTCAATATTTCTATACACTGCAAATAACTCTGCTGTGTTGATAGCCAAAATATCAATGACTTTTGATGACTTCATGTTTTCCAAGAGGCCAAGTTAACCAAATTCAGCCTGCTGATACATGTTTATCAGAAAAGATTTGTTCAGACTCTTTTTTCAAAAAAGCACAGATCTTGACGAAGCAACATAGAAACCAATTCGTACTTGGCTTGCTTATTCCATCCTTGTAACATAATGTAACTACCCCTTTAATTCTAAAGCAAAATAGACATACAAATGAAACAGAAATATTGTTACATGTTTCCAGGAATGTTTAATTAAACACAAAAACAATGATGTCATGTTTACTGATACCCTAACAAGCCCCCATCAGGACCTAAAGGAGTTGCTAAATGTTGTTAGTGCCTAATATCCGAAGGAGTGCACCAACTAAAATTGATCGGAAGTTCTTAGATTATGAGGATACTTGAACAATTCTAGGTTTTAAACCCCCATTTAAGTTTAAGGACAAGATTGACATGTTTAAGTTTAAATTGTATGATTATGCAACTTTTTGCTTGTCTTCACCTGTTCCCCTATTCCCCTTCCTCAGATCCTATAAATCAGCTATCGAAAAGTACTCCTACTTAAAAAGTAGGTAATATATTTACATTATACTATACACTACACTATTAAATGCTTACTAATAGTTATAGAAAGAGCAAAAAGAAAAAAAGTAAATTAGCTTCTTTAACTAATTCCAGCTTGAATCCTACATGAAGTAATGTAAGTTGAAAAACAGCTTCAAAATATACAGTATCTTCAAGAGAAGATTACTAGAGAAATAACAATTCGAATTATCTTCAAGAGATCACTAAAGAAATACTAACGATTTGAAAGAATTTAAGTTATATACACTAATCGTGTACAAATCTTTTTATACTATCATGAATTTTAACTTGTAATAGCAGGTATAAAACTTAAACTCATTCAAAATAGTATAGTTATTATGCTACTCACGAACAAGAGTCACCGACGTTTCCGCCACACTGATGAAACGACATCACAGCCTGAACTTTAAGCCCTTGCTTTTTCGCCATTTCCAAAAGCTCCGTATAACCACCCCAATTGTACTCTCCCGGCGCGTCCCGCTCCACCAATCCCCACCACACGTCCATCATTATCCCTTCAACTCCAGCACTCTTCAACGCCTGTAAACTCGCCTTCATCGCCTTCTTACGATTCACCGTATTATCCATTTTCACACTGTCCAACGGCATCATCACATATACCGGCACTCCTTTCCCAAGTTTGTCCTCCTTCTCCACCTCCGCCGTCTCCGCTAAAGCATCACGCGCCTCCGTTAGCGCGTGACACGTCACCGGACTCAAAGGTGGTGATGTTAGCACTTTATCTGCTTCAGTTCCTGAATTTTGCATCGATACTCGGAGATTTGTAACCGAAGCTCTCCGTAATGCTGATGTAGTAAGTGTTGTTTTTGCCGGAGCTTCGCCGGAAACACTTTCAGTTTCCGATGATATGGCCGTTCCTGATAATGCTCCGATTTGATGAGGCAAACTCATTGCCATAAGTAAAATATATGATAAATTGAAAGAATATAAGAGCAAATTTTGAGTCTTTTTCAGTATTTTTTCTGTGTTTTACAGTTGAGTTTCGAGATACAAGAATAACGAAGGTGGACTATTTATAGTGATAAAGAAGTACGGATAATAAGATTTAGTCAACATAATTATCTTAAACTGGGTTTTGCCACGTGTAATTTAGAAACGTGAGAATAAAATTTAGAATTTAGTTATTTAACATTTGAAGTCCTCTGAAAATTAATACTCACCCGGTCCAAAATAAGTGATTTTTTGAATGTTTTCGCATAAATTAAGAAATTCACCTTTTAACATTAATGAGCAATGAAATTGACCATATTAACCTTTACTATCTCACATGAACACTCCTAACACATACTCCAACACTATTTACTCCAAGGACAATATAAAAAAAAAATAATTAATTATTCTTGAAATCTGAAAAAATCACTTATTTTGGACCACAAAAAGAAGGCTTAAAAATCACTTATTTTGGACCGGAGGGAGTAACGTAAAAGGAACAACATATATAATCTCTTAATTTCATTTTTATCTATTCCACTTTTTATATTTAAATAAATAATTGCTTTACTTTAACCAGTCTCGTAAGGTTTTTGTCTATGATAGTTAGTGACAATGTTGTGTGTTACTATTTCACTTTTCAGCGCAGGAACTATTTACGAGCTATCGCTTTTGCTTTGCATCTTTCTTCTGATTTTCATGTTGTTCCTGTTTTTTATATGATTTCTTTGCTGATACTAATATTGTCTCATTTTTGACTTTTTGTTTTCTTGAGCCGAGCGTCTTTCGGAAACAGCCTCTCTATCCCTTCGGGGTAGGGTAAGGTCTGCGTACACACTACCTTCCTCGGAATTTTGCTGGGTTGTTGTTATTGTTGTTGCTTTACTTTTACATTTGTACTTACGCTTAATATAAATGCTACATACAAATTTATATTAATCGGTCCAATAATTTTATACAACAAATGCCAAAACAAGTAAAAATAACCCAATTAATAAATCCACAAGAGCTCACGCTGAGATAAAATCAGTGAAAACTCACTCAAATTGATATATGAAACAATATTAAAATATACCTCTAACAAATTTGAAATATTATACTACAATATATCAAGTCTTTCTTAAAAGTCTAGGTTCAAGATTTTATCTGTTCTCCAACTTTAGTTTATTATCTCATTTTAATGACATTTTTATTTTTGGTAATATTGAGTAAATATTATAAGTTGATATAGCTTTAGCTTTACAGAAGTTAGATTTCAATTTCTAGAGCTAATTAATTCTTCACCTTAATAATTATTCTGTAATTTTTGACTTATGAGTAGTTGAACATTTCTAATGAGTCTTTTATCGTAAATTTAAATTAATCAGGACTTCAATTTAAATATATCAAATATGGAGGGTAAAACAAAATACTAACGAATATCCATTCACTAAATTCCTTTTTTCATATATTTTTTTCTTTTCCATATAAGTTTTTCCACAATTGGATTTTTTTTTTTTTTAAAAAGTTAGATAGTGACTTCACGCGCCTTCGAGGATTTATCCGCAAATATATTACTGTCCGACGCCGGAAAAATCCAAATCCGAAGCGTCTAAATATTACAGCCAGCCCTGTTAACGTCTCCTTCTTCCTCTTCTCATTTCTCCAATTTTTCTCTTCCCATTTTGCCCTTCTGCAAGATCTCAACACCCTCACCGTCCTTTTCCATTTTCCCGGGAAATTCATCAAAATTCGAGGATATTTTCAAAAATTGAAGTCGCACTTCAATTTTCTTCTATATATATCAATCTGAATTTTCCGATAAAATTTGTTTAAGTTCACTGAAATGCGGTGAAATCATGAGATCGTCTGTCTTGCCGGAGAATTCAAGCAGTGCGCCGTCAACTTCGCGGAATTCACCTCCTTCTGCGACGGCGCCTCGAAACTCCAATTGTAAACACAGGTCTATCTCTAAAACCCTAATTTTTATCTCAATTTTGCATCTTTAGTTACTTACTTATTCACAGATCTGAAAACTTTGGTTTTTCTTCATTAACCATCTCTAATGTCTGGAATTGAACTCCTTATAAAAAATGTCTGGAATTGAACTAAGATTTGATGATTGATCTGAAGCGGCAGATGACGGCATGTTGTTAAAGTGTGTGCTTTTCGATGATTGCCGATGTTTTCATCTTGTAGTTTCAACAACTATAATAACAACAGAAACAACTACTATACCTCAATCCAATACTAGTAGTTTCTATCTCCATTTCGACACGTCTTAATCCAACATTCAATAATTTAGGTCCTCTAATACTGGTAAACCAACAACCAACAACGACCCAGTAAAATCCCACAAGTGGAGTTTGGGAGGGTATTGTATATGCAAACCTTACCTTTAACCCGATGGGTAGAGAGGTTGTTTCCGATAGACCCTCGATTCAAGAAGACGAAAAGAGACAATATATCAGTACCATCAACAAAACCATATAAATAATGACAACATCACAAGAACCAGTAAGTAGATGGAAAACAAAAATAATAACCAGTAAACAGAAGAGTAGTGAACACAACATTGACCACTAGCAGTCTAAGACAAAATCCTATCAACCTAGCCTCATTCTGGTACGAGTTAGAAATATGCTCAACTACCTCCTAACCTACAACCTTAATGCTCGACCTCCACAGTTTCCTATCGAGTGGGTCTAATACTGGTAATTCTCTATATTTTTTGCTGACATACAAATCTGTAACTCCTAGTGAACAGTGGACCTAAAGAAGCTTACCAGCGTAACCAAGTCTTAATCTTCGCACCCAAGGGTGTGCTCAATGAAGTTGGAGGAGAAGTATGAGGTCTCAGTTTCAAATTCTTGCGGAGGATAAAAACACTAGGTGATAAGTTTTTATCCTCCTAAGCCTTGGTAACTCTCAGATTCAAATTCTTGCGGAGGATAAAAACACAGGGTGATAAGTTTTCGTCTGCCTAAGCCTTGGTGGAAAGAGTTACCAAGAAAGTGCCGGATTGAATAGTCGAGGTGTGCACAAGCTGGCTCGGATACCAACAACAACAACATACCCAATAATATCCCACACTGTGGGGTCTGGGGAGGGTAGTGTGTACGCAGACCTTACCCCTACCTTGTAGGTTGTTTCCAATAGACCCTCGGGTCAGGAAAAGCTGGCTCGGACACCATCTTCATAAAGAAAGAAGTCTTAATCTTTATCTTGTACTTTTAGATATTGCTTCAAATGGTGCTATCGACTTGGATTTTGCAATTCTAACATTCTATAGGTAATTTATAGTTCATTTCCTTGTCCCAAATGAAAGTAATGATTATAGTTATAAGCTGCCTCATTGACCTATAGGTATTTTGTGAGCATACTCAATGAGGGTGCTATCTGATTTTATTTTGGTTGCTGATTTGGTTTATTTTTCTACCTGCTACAGTAATGTCTTTCAGCTCTTAACAAGAAGGGAGGTATCTCCTCGAACTAAACGCGCTTCCAGAAAATTTTGGGGTGAGAACACTAAATGTACTCTTGACTCCTGTGGATTAAAACGCGAAGTGGCAAGTGATGCTAGACGGGGACTAATATCATGGTAACTTCATAATCTCTGCTCTCCCTTTTTTTCCCTGTAATGTTTGATAGAATCTTGCCACTTTTTTTTCTCTGTCAGTCTCATTTAAATATTGCAGGGTAGAGGCAGAGTCACTGCAACATTTATCGGCCAAGTATTGTCCACTGTTGCCTCCTCCAAGGTCTACCATTGCAGCAGCATTCAGTCCTGATGGGAGGACACTTGCTTCTACTCAGTAAGTCTCTCTTAGATTACATAGACATGTACAATATGTGATATGGTATGCACTTATGCTAGTTTTTTATCCATCTGTTTAATATAATTGTAGTTATTATCTTAATTGTCTAGCTCTCTGCATCTTGCAAACTTACCTATTAACTAAGCATATTTGGATATATGCTAAATTGTAGTGTAGCTATTTGTGAATTCTCCCTCCTTATAGATAAGACAGACAACAATTTTACTTGTTTCCGGTTGGATTAAACTTAGAATTTTGCTACTTTGGTAAGTTTACAAACATATAATTTCTTTTCCATGGTGGCAGTGGAGATCACACGGTGAAAATAATTGACTACCAAACTGGGAAGTGCTTAAAGGTTTTGAGTGGACACCGCAGGACACCTTGGGTGGTAAGGCTGTCTTTCTTTGCTGAATGTTTTGGCATAACACCTTTGTTCCTGGATCTTACATTCTGGTTCACATCTGTAGGTTCGTTTCCATCCATTGTACCCTGAAATACTGGCAAGTGGAAGTTTGGACCACGAAGTTCGGTTGTGGGATGCAAAAACTGCCGAGTGTATAGGATCGCGAGATTTTTGTAATACCCTGTAATATCTCAGTAGTTAAAAAAAACTGTGCGCACAGAGGGGATCCAGGATTTGAAGTATATGGGTTCCTAGAAAGATCTCAAGTTAATATACTACAATAGTAACTGGGTTCACAGACAGATGGTTATAGATCAGCCTCTGTGTGCACTTTACTCTTTTCTTTTGATTATAACTGGTGAAATATTCATCTCCTACAGATCGTCCCATCGCATCCATAGCGTTCCATGCCCAAGGGGAAGTTCTAGCCGTTGCTTCAGGCCACAAGGTAAAGATTCTGGCCTGAGAACATTCTCTTGAGTGATATATTCCAAGCTCTGGTAATGGGTGCTGATTTTGCAATCGATGACAGCTTTATATATGGCATTACAACAGAAGAGGAGAGGCTTCTACACCAGCAATTGTACTGAAGACACGGCGTTCTCTTCGTGCTGTCCATTTCCACCCACATGCTGCCCCATTTCTTTTGACAGCTGAGGTATTACTGTGTTTGGTGACTTGAAGTGTGAATTTTGGTTGTTTTAGACGCCATTAACCCTTTATTTTGTAGGTCAATGATCTGGATTCATCAGATTCTTCAATGACACGTGCTACTTCTCCGGGTAACTTGCAGTACCCTCCCCCTACTGTGTATTTGACTGATGCTCATTCCACTTATCAATCTGCTTCAGCAAATGAACTGCCTATCATGTCTCTACCTTTCCTGATCTGGCCGTCAATTGCAAGAGGTGATCCCAGAATGCCTGTGCAGCAAACTGATATAGATATGGGAACCGACAATGTACAGCACAGAACAGATACTTCATCATCTGTCCGCCTTCTCACATATTCAACTCCGTCTGGCCAGTATGAACTTTTATTGTCCCCTGTTGAGCAAAGTGCATCTCCTGCGCAAGAAGCTCATACTGGTTCTTCTGTTGGGGAAAACGAGAATATAGGTACTCAACCTTTAGTTGATCCTATGGAGACTGATGTGCAACCAGAAGAAAGAAACAATCAGTTTTTCCCTTTTAGTGACCCAGCATACTGGGAATTGCCTTTTTTGCAAGGATGGTTGATTGGCCAAAGCCAGGCTGCCCAACAAGCAACTCATCCAAACCTTAGTGGTACTACCACTAATCCATCAACTTATGGTGAACTGGAAAATCCTTCTGCTGTTCCCTTGGTAATTTCAAGCAATAATCATCCAAGGTCCGGAAGATCTGGTTCTCGGCAACGTTCTTCACGCTCTCGAGCGATTCCCGTTGCTGGTGCTGGTGCTGCTTCGCTTAACGTTATGCATGATGAGAGTGATTCTCAAACTTCTATTGGTCGCATCCAGTCGGAGATAGCTACTTCGCTGGCTGCAGCAGCGGCTGCTGAATTGCCTTGCACTGTGAAACTCAGAATATGGCCTCATGATGTTAAGGTTCCATGTGCACCCCTTCATGCTGAAAGATGTCGCTTAACAATACCACATGCTGTACTTTGCAGGTGGGAATGATATCTACTGTTTCAAATCTTTGGCTTGGAAGCTTGATATGGATAAGCTTTTACAGACACTGAGCTATTAAGCTGTCATGATGAACTAGCTTGGACAATATTTCTATTAGAGTAGTTGATGATTAGCCTCTTAGCAGTTAGCCCTATACTTCAGAAAATTTCCTGCCTTTGAGAGTTCCTAATTTTTATGTCAGAACTCAGATATGGTTTTAGATGAACTTTTCTGAATGCTTACTGTGAGGTATTATTTTCAGTGAAATGGGAGCCCATTTTTCACCATGTGGGAGATTTTTAGCAGCTTGTGTTGCATGTATTCTGCCAAACGTGGATGCTGATCCTGGTTTTCATGGCCATCTTCATCATGATACTATGGCAGCTGGAACTTCTCCAACCAGACATCCAGTTGCTGCCCACCAGGTTATGTATGAGCT